ATTATAATACAAGATAAAGATGATTAAAATCTTCTTTAGAGCATTTCTAAGTAGTTAATATATATTGAAACATTAATTGTCAGCATCAATAATATTGAGTTTACTCAAACATTAATTAGGACATTGATTTTTAAAATGTAAACATTTAGATTTATAACTTGAAAATACATTTTATAATGCAAAAGCAAAGTTATTCCATTATTCTGCTGAAAAATTCATACTGCTACCTTAAATAAATTCTCTTCATACATTTTATAGTGTTTTATGGTAATTTTTCTACAATAATAACTGGGAACAAATATTTAATGAAAGCAGTTGTATTTTCAGCAATAAATGAACATTTGCAAGAATAGAAGTCAGGATCATTAATGCAACTGTACACTCGAACACTACCTCTTTAAATAATTTAGAGAAGCAAAGACCATAAAAATAATTTTTCAGACCTATATTTTCTTTCAGGGCTAAACCAAAGTAACATTTGATGGGGAATTCCACACTTAAAATGAAATGATCCCAAGTTAGTTGGAGTTCAATTGCATCATTGTTTTAGAATTTCTTTATTTTATATTCTTAAATATACATTTTTTCCTCAGAAAATATTTTTAATTTGTCATGCATTTGAATATTGTGTTTTCTAATCAGGTTCTGTTTTCCAGCCATGAAAGATCTGTGTTATTTTGAACTACAGAAAGTGATCAATACATGTCTTACTGTGCGTCATATTATTTCTTTTTCAGTTTATCAAATTGAAGAACACTTATAACACATACATAACAAATTTCCAGAGAGTAGAATTATTGTACCGTCAGATATTAACAACCTCCAACAAAAGTGTTTGTCCCAAATTATACTTGTAGTCAAAATTGGACATGACCTAACTTCAGAGTAGCAACAACAAAAAAACAAACAAGGAATCAATTAATGATACTGAGGTCTTTCTTTGGTTAAATACAAACAATATTAATCATCTTGTGAACCATGAGAAATGGTAGGGTATTTTTTCAAAACAATTTTTTCATTGAGAATTCTTTAAGGTACTGTATTTTATTATGAACGATAACAAATGATTAGTATTCTAGTCTCTAAAATTATAAATTAATAAATAAGTATAATTTTGTCAGCTTCTAATTTTACAATTTTGTGATTATGTTTTAACAATCTTTATGTTATTATTTTATATTTTCATTATTTATAAAATACCAGATGAAGTTATAATGTATGAAGTTTCTCAAAGGTAACATTGACTTCGCACACTTTTTCTATAAAATTGAAGAGATACATACTTTAAAATAAACACCTTTGATAACTAAAATGTAAGTATATTAGTAATTTCAAAATTCTTTCAAAAATCAGAAACAAATCATGAGAGATGTAGTATTCATTTAGACACATACTCAGAAAAAATTCATTTTCATGCAACATATTGGCTATGAATGTCAGGTGAGCATATTGTTAAAACCTAGTAGTTTATTTAAATAAATGTTCTTTGGATTTAGTCTATTGTGTGCAAGAAAGTAAATATGTGTTAAAGCATATATTTTTACAAATAAAAATAACCGTTAAACTTATTCGGTCTATAATGCATTATATACAATTAATGTAAAATGAATTCTTCACTTTGAAAACCACACTAGCGATGCCCACTTTGCTCAAAACGGTATACTAAAGGTCATCATTACCTACCAAGTCCAATTTATTACAGAGTCAGTGTCGGTCTACATGAATATATATCTCTTCATTTTCTACTGTTATCATCTCTCTTACAATATTTATTTCCACTCACCGCTTGCATCAGTCACATGGACAGATTTATAATGTCTATGTATTCATTTAACTTAAAATACTTCTCTCTTCCTGTGGGATCAGCATTAAGCTTATTTACATAGTTTTAAGAGGACTCTGTCAGGTGGGTCTGAATTGCAGCTCCCTCTTATCTTCTCTGCATACACACATCTCTAGATTCTGCTCCAGATTACCCTTTTCCAGTGGTTACAGGAGATCAGCCTTTTCTTCTATCAGACACTTCTTACACCTAACACTCCCTGGAAGCTTAATGCCTTAAAGTCCCCTTTAGAGAACTACTTTGAAAGGAAACCATTCCTAGTCCTAACTGTATCCCATGAGTTAGGTATTTTTGCCAACTGCTCCCATGGGAGTATCCCATAGTTGTAACCTTTCATGGATTATAGTTCATGTTGAGTGTCACGCTTTCTTTTTAGACTGTGAAATCGTTTTGCTCTAGGGTCCTCTCTCTTCTATTTATGACTTAATCTTTCCCCCTCCTCTTAGTTCTTTCACAAAGCAAGATTTCAGAAAATGCTCCTAGAATGAATGAATGAATGAATTTAAAATTGGCAGAGCCAGAAGAAACTAAACCAGAATTCTCTACATTTTCATTCTAGGTCTTGCCTAAAACTTCTCAATCAGTTAATCAAGCTGAAGGTAAATATAACATCTTAGAGTACATGCATCACAACATGTATTCGTATGTCTTTATGTATAGGTATAACAATAATTAACACAGTGCATTATAAATATCGGTAAAATATTGATATTTCAAATTTACAGGGGCAAATAAATTGATAAATGATGGTACATTTAATCACTTAAGTGTATCATTTTTTAAGGCATCAAAGTTTTCATATAACTTAAAGTAGCACTAAACTTCAATAAATCCTTTAATATTCTGAAATAATTTTAACATGAGCACCATTTCCTTGTGTATTTATATATCCATATATAATATAGATGTAGATATATATTGTGATACCTTTTACTGGCTTTTGTTTTCTTTTTCATTTTATTTTAGTACTGGGATTTGAACTCAGGTCCTCCACACTGAGTTGCATTCTCACGGATTTTTATTTTATTTTGACATTAGGGTCTTGCTAAGTCACTACACTTTCCAGGTTTGGCTCAAATTTGAAATCTTCCTGCCTCAGCTCTCCCAAATGTTGGAGTTAAAGGCATATAATGCCACACATGGCTTGTTTTGGTTTTCAATAATTTCTTATATAGATTTCAGGGAATATAGGTGCATAACACTAAACAACATAACTAATATCTAATTTGTGATGCCACACTTTATATGAAAATTGTAATTAAAGCATTGTATTTACTACAATATTAATTTTGTTTCATTGACATATAATATTTGTACGTATTTATAGGACACAGAATGATCATCAGATCAAGGTAATTAGTATTTCCATCTTTGAAACATTTATCGTTTATTTGTTGTGGGGACATTCAAATGCTACCGGTCTAGTTCATTATGAAACATGAAAAATTGTTGGGAACTATTGTTACCCTTCTGTGTTGTAGAATATTAGGACTTACTCTTTCTATGTAAATGTATTTTAATATATTTTAATACAAATTCATGATTTCCTCTAAATATATGAACTGCATTAAAGATTTATAAGAATGGAATACACTTTTGAATTCCACTTTAGATACTCTGACTAGATTTGTTAATCATGTTTTACATTATGTTCTTAATTCTCTTCATAGAATATAATTACTATAATCATAATATTGTTATGGAAGAAATTATTGATTTTTTCAAATTCACAAGCAAATAGTAGAAATAAAGAATAGTACATTCAGCTTTTCTTATTTAGGTACATCACCTCCTATAAGATTTTCATAGGCCTTGAAATGGCACTGAATTTGAGTTGATTATTTAGGCTTTTAAAATCTTCCTTGTAAAATGAACATCTCTGCCTTATGTAACTCATAATTACGAATAAAGTGAGAAAAATGCATAAGGACTTGGTAAATTAAATGGAAAATGCCATCAATGTAAGATATCCATATTATTTCCAAAGGCACCTCACTGCACAATTTTAAAATATAATGAAAGTTTAATTCATAGCATTAACTAATGTTAGCAAGACAAAGTCACAAAGTTAGTTTTAAATCTCATAATCAACAGTTAATTTAATAAAATTAAGTGTATAAAACTGATTTCAATTTTTAAAATACTGAAGATATAAGAAATTCATAGTAAATAAGATTAGAATCAATTTGAAATTACAAGAATGTTAAGTAACATGACCAAAATGACAAATTTTAGTTCTTTCCTAGTTTCAGAAGCATTGTGTACTAACAATGATATTCCATGATAGTGCATTCTCTGTCTTGATGAATTAATTTGATGTTCTCATTTTTCTTTACATGTTTATGTAAAGAACACGTCTATAAAATTTAAATACTAAGGGTACATAAAGGGCACATTTAATATAAGGCAAATGTTAACATATGACCAATATAGAAACTAAATAACAGAAGTAAGTTTTATTTTATATCAGTATTCATATGCTCTTGCTTCTTTACCTTTATATTTATACTAAGCAGTAACCAAAAATACTTTAAGAGAGCTCTTACGGCTTTTGATAATGTCCATAAAATATCAATGGGTGTAAGTACGATGACATATCAAAAGAACAACATACTAGTTTGTTGTGAAAACAGATGTAGAGTTTCCCGCCATAACGCATAATCTCTGTGAGACTGCAGCTCTGTGCCTTCATGGAGTTGCATTTGTGGCTCTCTTTGCTTCACTGCCTGAGTGATTCTGCCTTTCTAAAATTGATCTCAATGTTCAGTCACCTTTATCTTTGGCAGTATCTAACCAGAATCACAAATCAGGTTGTTCATGTTGCACAGAGAAGTTGTCTTATTTCTAAAGGTTTCCTCTAGGCTCGGCAGATTTTCATTCTGCTTTTTATCTTTCATTCTCACCTTCCATTCTTTCCCTCTGCCTATCCTCTTCACATCACTCTATGTCTAAAGCTATGAAAGTATTTTTACAAAATACTTCATGGCAAGAGCAACTGGGAACACTTCAAGGTGACATGCCACACTAATCATGATCGGAATCTAGAGCTTACATCTAGTTTATAAACTTACCTTTGCATTTTTTAATAAAAAGAGCTCTAGCTGTTGTAAACGGATGGCATAATACTTATGTTAGGAAAGCTTGTAGTTTTGCTTACCTTTAATAATGTTGGGTTTGGGCGGCATGCTGAACTCATATACTGTTGGTTCAGAATATCCTAGTCTATTGGCGGCCGTGATTTGAACTTCATAGCCCATTGTCCACTGTAGATGCTCCAAAATAATGTGGTCTTTATTTCCTTGCACTTTTTTCTCTAGCCATTGATCTTCTTTATCTTTCTGTAACAAGGATACAAATATATTTTTAAAAATACATAATTTATTTGGGAGTGGGAACAAATAGCTTCATTAATATTGGTTTTCATATTTACGTGGCTATATGAACTTGCAATATCAGTGAAGTCAATATTATTTCTAATATTTACTACATAAGATAAAATGTCTATGCTTATTAACCAGAGCAATAATTTTGTATACTTTAATCTTCCATTTATTGTATTATTTGTCTAATGTACACAGACTGGGATTTGGTCACACTTAATTATTAAGTATGTGATAGAAAAGTGAAATTGAATATATTAAATAATTTTCATATGTCCATTAAAATAATTTCCAGAGACATTTTAAAGTCTGGTGAAGCAGGAGAGCTGTATGGAAATTAAAGTATGGATATTATTATACAATTTTTTAGCACTTGCATTATTTCACTACTATATTTTATGATTCATAATGAAATAGCATATAAGTAAAATTACCATGTGGAAATTTAAAAAATTAATCCTACTGCTAAACATTCTAAATTTAAAGACTGTTCTATTATTTCAGACTATATGGTATTAGAATTGCTCAATATGAAAAATAGCATCATTACAACAGCTAGCACAGAAAAATAAATTGGTAGAATTTTGTGAATTACATTGTCAAAAAACATGGGAACAATGAGGTATAACATATGTTAACAATTTAAAAATGGGTAAGTTTCTTAACCCTTTTGTTCTTTTCCTGTCTAAAACAGAAATATTAGCAACAGCTTTTCTATTGCACTTTTTGATGGAACTATAAGGAAAACAGTAAATTGTATTTTCCAGGGCCTGAGGAATTGTAATCAAAACAGACTCCATTACTAGGAAGTAACTATTTCCATAGTAACCAGATGGAAATGAAGTATTTTCCCAGAATCATGTATCTAATAATCTATAACTGTAATTTCAATCTTATTTCCCAGTAACTAGGTATAAATAAATTGAATTCTTGATATATAAATTGAAAAATTTGTTTAACCTTATAGTTTATCCCCATATTTGATCCCCGGTACCAAAAAAAAAAAAAGTAGGTATATAGTTTATCCCAATATTACCTTATGTCCAGACAAAATTTTTACAATGCTCCTTCAAATATAAAGAATAAAATGTTTGCTGAACTAATGATGAATAATTAAGGATTTATTCTCTAAAAGCAAACTGTACTTAACTGGCATACTCCAAACATACACTTCAGAACGGAAACAAAAAGATATTATGGTTTTGATAATGTAGTATTATTCTCTATCTTTTGAGTTATTTCTGATGATATAGATCTTTTATGAATAACAAAATTTTTAATTTCTTCAAAAACTTAAGGTATAAAAATCTCTAATGAGATCCGGGTTCTAAATGGACATTTAATTTGAAAGACAAAAATGTATAGATTTTTATATATTTTTGTTTTCAATTTTTACATTATATTAGTTTATACTGAAATTTTAAAACATTATTTTTATTGGTACATTTTAGATATATACTACAATGACATTCATCATTGGAAATTTGTACCTTTACATAATATATCTTGGTTCTTACTTTTTTCACCATTCCCCTGCCCTCCCTTCAACCCCTCCACACCTCCCTATTTACAAAGATTTTATTTCCGTATTTTCATTTTCTCATATTAGTTCCATTCCTTTCATTCCTTTCCCCAATACCTCCCAGTTCCCCTTCTCCTTTGGACCTTTTCTTCCTATTTCACAATATCTGTTTTGCCTTTTCATTCTTATTTACACTTTCAGTTTCTTACACCAGAAAAACTATTTGGTATTTACAGGTGTGTCCTATTTATTTCACTTAAGAGTACGGCCTCAGTGTGCACTCATTTAGCTACAAGTCTCTAGTTTCTCATTCTTTATGGCTGAGTACTACTCCATTTTATTAAAAAAAATTTTTTTTTTCTTTTTCCAGTCTCCACTTGATGGGCAATGGGGCTTCTTCCAAGTTTTAGCTAGTACAAATTGTACTGCTATGTGGAATTTTCAAAATGGCCTATTTCCCATTTGGATTTAAGATCTTAAATGATATAATGGAAGGGCAATGGGAAAACTGCAAAGAGAAGCTGTAACTAGTTTAAGAATCTAAGGGAATAACAAAGTTAAGAATCAAACCAAAGCACGCCTTGGGAATGCTTAAGATGGCTGTACTAGAGCCATCGTATCCCAACATTCTCTTTCTTCAGCCATTCATTTTTTTCCATCGTTAATGGGTGGTGAGGCTGTTCCAGAAACTATGAAGGCAACAGTATACAAGACATACACAATACCCTCATTTTTTTATTTTAAACCAACACAGAAGAAGGTGATGAGCTCTTTGAATAACAAGGGAATTCATTTAGGGCTTATAGAGAGAGATGTCAATAGAGCTCCAGGGGCAGGCAGGTCTCCCATGGAAATAATATTGTTCTTACAGGAAGTAATGAACTCTGGTGCTGTTTCATATATATTTTTTTATTTATATATATATATATATTTATTATATTTATTTTTGCATATTTATTTATTTATTTCATATGTATATATTCCTTCATGGAACATTATATCCAAAAATAAACACAATAACTTTAAAACCCATGAAAATGCATAACCATTAAAGGATATAAGAAGATATGCTCTGTGATAATGATTTCAAATAAATTTAAAAATTTCTAGAGTTACATAAAAACAAGTGCCTTGCAAGTTGGTAGAAATGTGTACTTTTGTGGCTCCGGCATTCCACCAATAATTCATAATTCTATGTAACTATCAAGTGCTTGCTATAAGTAATTTGTTAAATTCAAGGGTTTGGATTTTGCTTTGGATCTGAATGGAGATATCAATTTCAAGCCAAAAAATAAATCGGTTAATTGAGATCTGAAATACCTTGAAATTCTTTACAGGTTGAAAAGACTTCCTGTCCTTCAAGCAATCCTACAAAAAATATTATTTCTAGGAACTGAGCATTTTAGGTGAATCTTACAATTTTCCAAAATACCAATTCCAAGAATGGTGTATTTGAAGAGAAACTTCTAGACATGCACAAAACATACAGGCATTTTTTTCTGAATTGAGTCATTTAACTCTTAACTGTTGAAGCATGGTAAATTAAAAATGTCTCCATCCTTTTAGACTAATGGTGCAAGAAACCAAGGGGAGTTCTAATATTTTCCCAATATAAATCAATTTCATTTTCCATTCAAAATTAGATAAGGAGATATTTCAATCCCATAATTGCTGTATCTAGGGAACAGAAAAAAAATAAAGTAGGTGTTACCAAAAAACTCCCCTAGGCATGGCAATCTCAATTATACATTTGCAGAGCACGTAATTTACAGAATTTCAATGCCCAGGGACCGATTTAAGATAACTGGTTACAAAATGTTCCCCTAGGTAACTTAATGAGATGATTTGCTGAATAGGGCTATTGTTAATAAGCCAATTAAATGCTGAAGGGCAGTTACTGAAAACCTGGACTTTTTTTGTACTGTAACTACTATTCTTTTAAGCAGTACTTTTGTCAGAAAATATCAGGGCTACACAGCAATTAAGGATATATATATATATGTATATATATATATATATATA